TACTAAAACAAACAATGCATTGAAAAAAACAAATGTACTTTTAAAACTTCGTTTAATTCGTTCTGAAACTATTGAAAYAAGAAATGTAACAATAGATGACTATATTTAAACGTGTACTTCTTGTAACCAAAATCCCGGCCAGGGTTAAACGATAGCATTGAAAATGCGCCTAAAGTTTGGACGATTAATTATCTTTGAAAACTCGGTCATTGCACTATTAAAAGGGCTGGCATGTTAACTTACTGTCGATAAGGGAAAGTTGCGGAAAAGCCCTTTTGATGAGGGCTCGTGAAGAATGTATACGACTTGTTGGGTCAAAAACTCTTGACTCAACAGGTTTGAGAGATACTACTAACTAAATTAACTGCTAAATTATGCTTATTATTATTTTTTGTTTAATCAGCACTATTTTCTGGTAAATAGTGGATAGTGTTGCACGCTGTATTTGTACGCTATCATTGATTACTTCAAAAGTATTCTTCTTTATAGGTTTGATAAGCTTCTTTAAGCTTATCCACATCTAAAATGGTTACACTTTTGCCATCATTGGTCACGTTTGGCTTAAAAAATATATACATGGGCTCGACCAATTCGATTTCCCGATTTCTCGCAACATGCTTATAATGAAGCATTTCACTTGTTTGTTAAGTGATTTTGAGTTTGAATTCTGACTTTTCTTTGTGAATGATGTTCCAGGTGTAGGCTTGATTCGGATGACTTGAGATGTGGCGTGCTGGTTGGGGAATTGTGTGACGGGTCTTCATGTTCAGTCTTGAGAACTTCGAAATTCCTTATGGTTTCTCCGATGTAGGTTTCACCGTACGAGAATTCCGCTTTATATACTACAGAGGACTGTCCTTGAGTTTAAATAGGCTTTTAATCTTTCTAGTTTGCCATAGAATGATCAACCTGTACTTTCCATCAGTTAGATTATTAAGTTTCTTCAGAAAATGGCGAGAGAGCTGTTCATTATCCGTACAATAGGGTAGTTTTACGAAAATTTTCTTGCGTTGATCCTCATCAAAAAGATAGTCCGGGATTAGCTTTTCTTCTTCCTCCTGTTTGCGTAGAAAGTTATTTATAGCAGATTGGATGAAACTTTTTGGGTATCCAGCTTGTAAAAAGACATTAGTGATCGTGTTTACATCTGCGTCGAAATTTGTTGAAATACGATACGCTCTGTGGAGAGCTCCATTAATTGCATTTCTTTTCCATTTAGTTGGTACTTGTGATGACCAGTGAATGGGGTACTTTCCTGGATTGCGATATACACATGACGCTTGAATTTGTCGTTTTCATACGAAAAGGTCATGTCGAAGAAATGATCGGGATTCTCTTCGACTGTGAAATTGATATTTTTATGCTATTCGTTCATCTTTTCAAGTAGGCGGTCTGGCTCATCTAGTTTTCTTTTTGAGAAAATATCATCTACGTATCTATCGTAGAAAGGCGGGTTGAATGGTCTGACTACATCTGCTTCCAATTTAGCCATAAAGATGTTAGCAAGGACAGGAGAGAGAGGGTTACCCATTCCACATCCGTCTGTCTGTATAGACGATCATTCTATGGCAAACTAGAAAGATTAAAAGCCTATTTAAACTCAAGGACAGAAACTATCACCACTCCTCAGTAGTATATAAAGCGGAATGCTCGTGCGGTGAAACCTACAGCGGAGAAACCATAAGGAATTTCGAAGTTCGCAAGACTGAACATGAAGACCCGTCACACAATTCCCAACCAGCACGCCACATCTCAAGTCATCCGAATCAAGCCTACACCTGGAACATCATTCACAAAGAAAAATCAGAATTCAAACTCAAAATAATAGAAGGACTCATTATCGCATGTGAACAACCGACACTTAACAAACAAGTGAAATGCTTCATTGCAAATCTTTATCCCTCAGGGATATCTTAGCCCCCCTTTTAAATGCAAACATGTAAATTTTTAGACACAACTGAAGATGACTAATAGTCGAAAACGTTTTTCAATGTTTTRATTTCATAACATGTATATATTTTCATCCTTGTACATAATAATAATTTTCTAATAATAACAAACATGTTTCTGAATAAAGTTTGGTTTTTAAGAAATTCTTTTCATTTTTGCGATCGGTAAATAAAATCAGTTTTACCATGATGGGTTCCTCTGTTACATGCTGTGGATTGAATCGATATTTACCGAAAACAACTGAGACATCGCAGTACGTTAAAAACCTGGATTCAAGAGGAGAAAATTGGAAAAATTATATTGTTTGGCGTATAATTGTACCGATTGCAATACGTTTTGACTAGGTTTTCGCTTCGAGCAC